CCAGGTTTAATTCTAAGGATGCCTTAGTCCTCCTAGCTGCCTTCCTACATCCCCTAGCAGCAGCCTTATATTCCTCCCAAGTGGCCAGCCCCTCCTTCCATGACCTGTAAACTCTCCTCTTCCACTTGAGCATATCCAGCAATTCCCTATTTAGCCATGCAGGTCTCCTGGCCCTCTTCCTTGACTTCCTACATGTCAGGACATATTTTGGGCTATCACTTGGTTCATGTCATTCTGGAGGCATGTCAAGTCTGGTTTAAGAAGCTTGTATAAGTTCTGGTTAGGAGCTTTTCCACTATATTGGTCCAAGGTCCCAGCTCAGGTTTTAACCAGGAGATTTGGTGGTCAACACACTGCGTGGTCCAAGAAGCAAACAGACATCTAGAAAAAGCAGATGGAAAGAGGTGAGCTTTGACCTTTCTCTAAGCAGCTTTTTCAAGCTTCTTCCCAGACTTTAACTCCCTAACATCTGATTTCTGTAGCTTTAAAGTATTTATTTTAAAATATCAACTTTGTGCAGCTGTTCCAGTTTTTATTTGAGTGTATTGCAATGATTCCTGCCATGTACTTTTGATACTGTTTCCCAGAATTCCACAAATGGCTTGAAACAGGAGCTAAGAATGAGTGTCTCAGCCACAGCGGCTGCTACTGTCCTCTGAGCAGCAGCTTAATCTATGTGACAGTTGAGGGCTTCTAATAAAAAAGCCATTTTACTGTGCATACCTGATTTGTTAGCCTGACTTGCAGAAGGTAATGAGTAATCCTCACTTTCAGATCAGTTCTGAGACATAGTAAGATGTCTGGAGGCTTTCTAGCAGCAAAGGTTTTAGTATAATATATTAATTTATAGTATAGCATTCTGTTTAGCATAACTCAGCTTGACACATTGTTTGTCTCTTACCTGTATATTCTCTCATATGGCCTGTGATAACAGTGACTTTTGAGGATGCTCCTTGTTACCAGATAAAGGAAATGCTATTTGGGAATCTGAAGGGCAGCACAGAACAGAGGTATTTCCCCTAGGAGACAACTTCATGCTGTTTGGACAGTGTGAAGCTCACTCATGGGTTTTTTTCCAGGCATTAGGGAATTCAGCTTTGTTGAGGAAACTTCCATATGTTATCAAACCACTGCATCACTTTTGCTTCCCTCTGGTTGCTGGTATGTGGCTGAGAGTCCTATGGGTCGGCAAAGTCTATGGGTGCCAGGGTGTCTTTGGAAGTGTTGAACAGGAAGGCTGCTCTAACACGTGTGGGGTTGTGAGCAGGCAGTTCCAAAGGCTTTCTAAATCTCTGTTGTTAACCCCCAGACAATACTTTTTTTCAGGTCGATGCTGCTGCTTTTATTAAATAATCTGCCATGAATGTAACATTCATTTGGATGTGAAACCTTTAAGGGTTCATCTGGATGTGAAACCTTAAAGGGGCTTTCAGGTGGGGAAGGAAAGCAGTACTGTGTTCAAAGATGGAGACTGTCAAGGAGCCACCTGCAGTCTTAATGGCCATGCTGTTGTCCTTTATGTTCATGGCCAAAGCATGCATCTCAACTGATATTACTCAGCACTGGAGAAAAGTAACCAACAACCTCTTAAAGAAGCACTGAATTTGGGCATCCAAATGGAGAGGTTTGTAGTCTTGACTGCAATAGGCTCTGTGTAGGGGAGCAGCCTATGGAACAGTGTATTGCACTCATGAATGAACCATGAGCTTGCTGTGTGATTAGTAAAGCAGGTCTCATACAACAGTGGCTTTACTGGAGTCACCTGTATAGATGTGACCAGAATCCATCCATAATATGTATCTGCTCATGCAAACTTGCCAGGATACAGAAAGATCTATGTGGCAAACATGATAATGAGGTGGTATTTCATTATTGCTTAGGTTAAATTTTCCCACTAGTGTTACTGTTGAAGTACTCAAGCCAGATAATCAAACTGAAATCCTGGTCTGTGTTTCAGCACAGTGGCCTTGAAGTCATGGTGGCAAAGCTCTAACTGATTTCAAAGAGGGCTGTCTGTCATCCAGAGCAGTAGAACTCCCCTGTCCCTAGCACTGAAACGACTTAGCTTGTCATGCTTTACCTACCACTTTATTGGTAAACATCTTTCATATTGTAAGCAATTCTACAATGTATATAGAGGTAGTAAAACAAGCAGTGATTCTGTAACTCTTAAAATTCACTTAGAATGATGATACATTTTGTTTTACCTTGTCTGACTTCCAAGGAAAAAAAGTATTACAAGTTTTGTGTTTGAACATTTTCCTTAAAGAGAGTTCTGACGTGTAACATCTTATTTGATCTGGCTAAGTGTATTTCATTTCTCAAGTAATGTAATTACATGTATTTAATAGAAGTAATTCTTATCCCTTACAACCAAAATATTCTTTCCATCAGATAGATACAAAAAAATACTTAAAAGAATTTTGGTGTTTGCTTTCAATTTTTAAGATTTTAAAATAAAGTGTCACTCATTTTGTGTTTGGAAACTCCGCTGTAGGAAGCTTCAGGTAATTTTTCTGAGAATGGAGAAGGTATGTGTGGAGGTGTGTATATGCATATATTAATATATATGTATGCACACTTGCCTGTGAACATTTAGACATGCATATAAGTGTGTATTCATAGACACCTCCTCAGACAGCAGTGCAGAACTTCATTTGCAGGATTAGTGCCATCTGACTAGCACCTCATGCTGCCCCAACACCAGAGGAGGACAGGGTCTTGTAAAAAATATAACAAATAGGTTTAAAGAGGAAGGAAGGAGTAAGAAAGGAAGTGTCCTGGGTTCAGCAGTAGCAGTCATTTTTCTCCTTCTTAGTAGCTGGTGCAGTGCTGTGTTTTGACTTTCAGCCTGGGAGCAGTGCTGATAACACCAATATTTTTAGTTGTTGCTAAGTAATGTTTACCCTGACCAAGGACTTTGTGAGCCTCATGCTCTGCCAGGGAGGAGGGGAAGCCAGGAGGAGGCAGAGACAGGACACCTGGCCCAAACTGACCAAAGAGGTATTCCATACCACAGCACATCATGCCCAGGATGTAATTGAGAGTTACCTGGAAGGGCTAGAGGACTGCAGGGTTGGACTTGGTATCAGTCGGTGCTTGGTCAGCCTCGGGGGGGTGAGTTATCGGTCGGTGGGTGGTGAGGTGATGTATTCTCTTCCCTTGTTATTTCCATTATCATTATTGTCATTGGTGGTAGCAGTAGTGATTTGTGTTATACCTTAGTTACTAAACTGTTCTTATCTCAACCTGTGGGAGTTGCATTCTTTTGATTCTCCTTCCCATCCCTCTGGGAGCAGGGGGAGGGCAAGAAGGAAAGAGGGAGTGAGTGAACGAGCTGTCTGGCTGGGTTTAAACCACGACAAGAAGGAAGGTGAAGATGATATCACAAGATGATATAAATTATCTGTGGGCCCAGCATGGTGTTTCTGAATCATTAGAAAACACCTTTAATAAGTAATGTGGGTTGTCCCTGACTGCTGTTAACATGTAAGCATTATTATTTGGCTGATGGATATCACAGCAGAAGCAGGTCTTGAGAGATTTGAAAGAGAAGGTTCCCATCAGATCTTTTTCAAAGGGTACATTTTCTCCTTTAAATCAGTTGGAGTTCCCTGAGCTGAATCATTAATAGCAACTTTTTCTGATGAAGTTCAGAGCCCCACAGCACAGGGACCAGGATGAAAGCAAAGCTTGAGAGACTTGCCATACACTCAACTGCACAAGGGCTCACTCTTCCTGAAGTTGCCTCATGTTTTCTGGAGGACTGTTGTGTGTAAATGAGACATGGCTGTGCAATATAAATTCCTTGTTCAGCCTGTCCTGGGGATGTTTTTGAGGATTATGTGAGGCAGGCTGTGGTCAGGAGAATGACCTGAGGAGGTCTGTGCTGCCAGTCCTGGAAAGCAGAGAACTGAGGGAGCTGCAAGTCTTGCAGATCGAACAAACTTCAATCAAGTACTTTAAAGGGGGTAAAACTGTATTGCAAAGCCTGATGGCTCTGTTGAAAACTCTTTCCGAGTGTGCACAAGCTGCACAGAACCAAATGACACTTCTTACTGGATTATAACTCAAGAAGAAAAGTTAATTTAGTTCAGTATTCAAATTGCTGTTTAAGCCTTGAATTTAAGGTCAAGATGGTAAATTTCAGTTAGATATGGATGGAACAGGTAGGAGTGGGTTTGTTTGTTTGTTTAAATAGGGTTTGTGTTTTTATCTCATTTACAAGATCTCACCTGTACAGATTTAGCAGTTAGAGTCTCAGAAGTAGATATCTCTAGCTTCTGCTGAGTCTGGTTCAAGGCAGGTACCTACATTGAGGTACACTGAGGACACAGGTATAAGTACCGCATTCATTCCTCTCTAGACAAAGACAGGAGATCCACTTGGGCTAGCGTCTAGCCTTTTATACCTTCACCTATGTCTGATTCAGGCTGCTGAAGGAAGCATTTATGGACACCTTTTTTTTCACTGCAGCAATCACACAGTAACAGTGGGGCTTTTTCTTACACTCTCCCTCCGTGAAGGCTGAATTCAACATTTCTGTCTGAGTGGAAATGGGACTTCTATGTTTGGACGTGGTTTACCATGACTCACTGCAGAAGAGAATTACTCATCTGCTGCAAAGTCTCAATGAGGCCATTCTAGATTCAACCTACTGAAAACTGAATGTGATTAAGAATTGGTCACTAGTTTGGCCGATGTCTAACTGATTTAGATGTTATTCAAACACCCAGCTTGATGAGATTGATCTTAGAGAGATAATAAAATTATTAAAAAGATATTGAAATGTCATATTTACATCCTGTATGGAAAGTCCGTTATCAAAAATGAATGTTCAGTTCATAAAAACTGTTACTTTCTTTACTCTTAAATGTTTATTGGTAAATGAAAGCAGGCAGCTCTCTGTCTTCTCTTGTATGGAATAGCTCAAAGAAAGAAAGATATTACTTAAATGGCAAATGCCTTTGCCTCTTTTGGTTTTTTTTTTTTTTTTTTAGCTTAATGACCTTCAGAAGTTTTCTGAGAATCACTCAGATGAAAACTGTACCAAAAGATGAGTCACAGAAGAGCTTGGGGATAAGCATTACCTGTTGTGCCTGCAACTCCTTTCTTTGTTCTCAGTAAATGTGATTCAGACCATTTCTGGGGTGGATGCGGCAGTTTTGCTTTCAGGCTATTGGAAAGCAGACTCCTGCTGTTGTTTCCAAGGAACTGGTTTTCTCATGGCAGTAGGTTTTATTTTCATTAGGTGTAGGGTTTTTCTTCTTTTCTAGCTCTCAGGTGTAGAGTAAGAGGTTCCTTGCTGTTTTCCGGCTTCCCCTCTCAGTATCCTCCTATGGCACATCGTGACATGGCAGCTAAGCAACTCTTCTGCTCTGCCTCCACAGGCGTGCTATTTCCACTCTGTAATTTTTAAGAAAGTGGATGATTTTCCTCCTTCGCTTCTTTCTCTGACATGTAAGTAATTCCCCATCCTACCAAATAAATCAAAAGCAGCATGAGCTGGAAGATGTCAGGTGTGAACAACAAGGAAAACAAATAAATAACCCCTAAACCCCCTCCCAAATCTCACTGATTTTGAGCTTAGTCCTGTCTTTGAGTAATTTTCTGATTCTCACTGGGTTCCATACAGTGACATCTGTGAACTGTGTCTTCTGAATGTAATACAGATTTGCAGCCTTTTTGTAGCACTGAAGTCAAATCAGAAGAAAAGCGAGGTGAACCAGAGGCTATGACAATGATGGCTTGACAGGGTCCTGAGCACCTTTATTCTCATCAGCCAGCTTACCTTCCCCATTGCCCTCTCCCTTTCCTACTGCAACCTTTTTCTTCTCAAAATTTACTTCCCCTTTTCCATATCTAATCTCCCTCTCTTTCTGTCTCTGAGTCCTTTCATAATTATTTCATGTGCAGTCCCACTTAATTGTCTTCCCTCACCCCACCCTCCTCCATTTATTCCTGCAAATAACAGGTTTGCCCAACTTTTGATTCAATGACAGGTTTTTATTTTAGCCTTTTTGTTCTGAGCAACCAAGAATTATAAAAATGCACTGCACTTGTCTGTCTGTCTGTTGATCAGTGGTTCACAGTCCTGACAACCCTGGCCCCAGATTTTTGGATGTAGGAGATAATTTCATCTAAGCTTGTCGGAAAGGTAAAGATACAAGAAAAATAATAAACCTCTACAAGCTTTGTGAAAATAGTTGTTCATGTAGAGGAGGAAGAAGATTCATGCCCCATCAGGGGAGAAGCTGATGTGGAATCATGTTGCTTAGACATCAGAGAGTCAGAGGAGAGCATAGTCTTGAGATACAGATCAGCAGGAAACCAGGTGTCGTCATCTCTGCTGCTCGTACAGCTAGGCATTTTATTCCTTTCTCTCTCTTCAGAAACATTTAACTGTTCTTCTTTACTCCCATTGTGTCACTGTGTTTGAACCATTTATTTATTTATTTATTTATTTACTGCACTGTCAGTTATGATTTATTTAGGTTTTGTTGATGCTGTTTATTGCATTGAAGACTTCTGACTATGACCTCTATAATGTGGAGTCTGTCACCTGAGTTTTCTTCACTGCCTATTTTTATGTCAGAAGCGAAATAACGGCTGTGGTCCTAAGTGGGAAAATAACTACTAATGGATTAGGTTGTATCAAATGGATTGTGTAATGAGGCTGAGGTTACCAGCACTAACCACAGTAAACCTGAAATTTATTGGTGGTAGAACTGAAAGTCACAATCCAGAGAGGAAGTTAATGGTTAGATAGTCAGATTTTAAATGGTCAGATTTGCTATGGAGCAATAGTCCCATTCTTTTTTATTTTTCTTTTCTGTCAGCTAAGAAATAAACCTCTAACATCACATCTTTTTCAAGACATCATTCAAAGATAAAAAGAGGTAATTTTGTTCACATAACATCTATTTCCGACAAGAGCTATATCAAAAGAGATTAAGTAGATATCTTCTTTCTGAAGAATTCAGTTTGAAATCTACTGGCTGCCAGTGTCCTTCCAGATGACAGAATGTGTTAAAGAGTACAACTTGGTTGATTCTTTTATAAGTAAGTGAAGGAGGCTGTGAATTTATGTGCTTTGTTTAATCAGGTCCCTAGCTTGTGGTTTTGGAAAATGGTGGCAGTAAAGCTGTACTGTTTCAGAGTTATGGGAACATATCTCTCTGGTTCTCACTAGACAAACTTTCAGTCTGCATAATTTCAGGTTTATTAGGATCAATAACATTTAATATCTAAAATTTTCATAAAGTTTTGTGGCTTTAAAGTGCTACAGTAATCACTTTCTTCTGTCTCAATATATTGATGGTAAGTTTGCAATATGTTGCTCATAGAAATGATTCAGCAAGAGGAGCATGGTGACTCCTGTTGCAAAGCAATTTACTAATGAGCTTTTATCTTTTACTCAGAATTTGAGTTCTCTCATGTAGTATTTTTGTAGCCAAGCTTTTAAGCAAACTCAAAAGAGATCAAAATACAGATAGGAAACAGGCAGTATGTTAAGTGGAAGAAAAGGTAAATAACATGGTCAAAGTTGGTAAGAAAAAATAGATGGAATAGTCTTTTGAAATTTTATTTATTTTTCTGAAAACCCCTTTTGGAGAAAAAGAAGTTGAGAGACCATGTTGAGACATCCTATTGAACATTGTCTACACCTGTTCTATTGAACCAAACTATTAAAAAATTGATTGTCAGAGGAGAAGAAAAAGAGGCAAGTGGGAGAGTTTTCAGGTTTCAAATATTTTCCTTTTGGTTAAAATGCAAAATTAAAATCTCAAAAGTCTTGGTGGTTTTGCTTAAATTTAAAACCAAAATACTTTGAATACACAAATTGTAACTTTTTTCCTCAAATGAAACCATAGAAGAATGTGAAAACTTGCATTTCCCTTTTTGAAGAATTCTGTCAGGGATGTCTTTTCTACAGAAATTTTTAGCAAGTCAAGATTTGCCACTAGGTAGATGGGAACCACTAACTGAAAAATGTCTCACCTGCTCTACAGAGATGTCTGATTGCAATGAGGGAGAGCATTCTCTGAAATGGATGAGTTGTGCTCTCTGCTTTTTCTTTCATCTTGACCGGAATGGTTAGTGCATGCTCAGAGCTTCAAGCAGCCACTGCTGTCCATTTTAAAAAAATACAGCCAAATTACCTGCATAATGTATCGAGATGTTATAAAAATTTCAATACAAAATTTTTGAAGAACACTTTGACTTATGGCCTCTTCATTATGAGCAAAGTTTAATGTGATATTAAATACATGTTAAACTATTTGGTGAGAGGGTAATCAAAAGGTATGAATTACTCAGAACTCTGCATGGTTGGCATGTTTCCTTTTTAGATAACCCTTAACAGTTTCACTGTCAACTGATAATTTCTAGCTCTGCTGTGGTATATCATTTATTTATTGGTTATTTCACATCATTATGAGCTGTTCCCCCGCTACCCTAGTGCTGCCCACAGTTGGAACAAAAAGGCAGACAGTCTTCTTTTGTTTTGCTTGGAAATAAAAAACACCTGTAGAAGAGAACAGGACTGAGCAATATCTAATGGTCACCGTCAAAGTGGAACAACTGATTGTGTCATTTTGTCACTGTGTGCAGTCTGAAATCAGTCTAGCTCTGCAGTTAAATGCACCAATAAGACACCATTTTTTTTTGCCTTTAAAATTTTCTGGCTTTTAGTAGCCTGGAGGAAATTTTTCCTCTCAACTTTAGCAATCAAATGAAGCTAATATAAAAGTTTACCTACTATTGTGCAGGCTTCCTACACCTATTGGTTATTCAGAAGGCTTGCCTCTACTCAGTGACTGTGGGGGTAGTATAAAAATGTATTTAAATCTGTATAACTACTATGTTGATATGAGTATTAATTGATACCACCTAAAAATATATTAATGCCTTTCTATTGATGTAACTGTCTGTCTGAGCCTGCTGCAGTAATTTAGTTAAATCAGTTCGTTACTGATTTAGTGTATCTAGCATTTACTTTACACTAAAAGGGCACGTAATTTCTATCACTACTTAGAAAACTGTTGACTTTTCCAATCAACAGCAGATTTCTGTGAACAGAATAGTCATTCTTACAAAAACTGCAGTAAATGAAATGTCATTTTTATTGATAACGATGCTATTTGCTCTGGAGAACTCTTTACTGTTAGAGGATCTGGTTCTAGACTTGCTGGTCTTGTCTCCATTATTCTTAAATTTCTCTGCAGCAAAGACATTAACTGAGTCCTATAAAGTTAATATTTAAGGATCTTGGGGATCATTCCTTAAAAATTTTGCATGAGCTTTTATCGGTAGCAGCATTCTTTGTCAAGATGTACTTGTACAAGACAGGGATGATTTTCTCACTGGGAACAAGGAATTCTTATATTCTTTTTTATTCTGCCCTTGATAAAACACAGTATTGTCTAGGGTTTGTGTAAACTACATTTTCACCTCCAGGGAGTGAAAAGAAGGAAAAGTATGACACTAATCGAGTTTTCTTGTTTCCTTTCAAGTTTCATCATCGTGACTCTGCTTGGGCATCTGGATGTGATTGTTCTCACTCCTGCCAGGGGACCGTCTCCCACATGCCATTCCTCCCTTCGCCCCCGCCTGCTTCCTCTTCGCCTCCCTCCCAGAAGTCACTTTTCTTGAGAAAGCCATCAGCATGTCCTGCTGCTCTGAGGGCCATTTGCCATCTGTCTTTGCTCTCAGAGGTGGGTGACATCTGCTTTCCTTCATGGGCTGGTCAGAAAGCAGCAGGCAGAACTGGCATCTTCCAGCCAGGGAGTGCCTTGTACCACCCAGAAGGGCAGGAGCAGAGATGTTCTCATGCTGTGTAGGTAACACGCATGCATGGCTGTGGTGGAGAAAGGACTGCTGGGAGGTGGTGGGCAATGGAGCAGCTGGGACAGAGCCGAGGGCCACCCACAACCAGCCAGCACAGCTCAGATGGGGCGTTGAAAGGCTGTAAAATCTTGCACTGGCAAAGAAGAGGAAAGGCATCCAGCTGGCGTGGCTGTTCTCTCCCTAGAAGAAAAGACTGTAAATTGCAGTTGTGCTTTGAGAATGACTTATTGTTACTCTGTTTATCTGCCTGTTTAGAGGCATTTTGTTTTTCTGCTGTTAATAAAAATATTCCTTGTTAAACCATTTGTTTCCTATTTGCCCTTGAGGACAGTCTGCTTACTGAGACATTTACACTGCTCTTTGCTTCAGGATAATTTTCCCTGTTGCCTGGGAGAGGACTTGAATGGTACTTTAGTGTAATCTACCCTTAAATGTGAACCCACCTATTAATCTTTTCACTCAGGTCCTGGTAGAAGGCTTACAAAATGTCTCATACCAACCACAGCTTGACCTCCAGTGGTTATCCAGTACCTGTTCAAGAGGAGATGACTGCTATCTGCCAAACTCTGCCAAAGTGACAACTGAAAGGAGAAAGGCTCTTTGTCCTGCTGAACTGAGGATACCAGTCAGTGCTGGGGGAAGGTGTTTGAGAGGCAACCAGACACAACACCTTCAAAGGTGAGCTGCTTCTTGTGCTTAGTCCTGCTTTACCTGCAGAAGGGCTTTCAATGAAATAGTTGCAAAGAGTATGTTAATGCCCTTGCATAGTATGACAGAGATATAAATAT